TAATCTTTACATGGTAGTGATGGTTCCAGTAAAAGCTCTTCCATGTGTGATATAAGTTTATTACATATATCAAAAACCTTGTCAGTGCAAAAGTAGCTGTACAAACACTCCAGTATGTTATTAATTTAGTTGCTAGAGTGATATTCTTGTTTTCTGAGGTTATTTTACGCTATAACTACTATGACTTAAACATTTACAAATTCAAAATATTTTATAATCATAGTTACCTTTGACGTTTTACTATCATTTCACAAAGAATAAGAAAATTGTAATTTACTTAACATCAACAGCTGACTTTAAAAAATATTTCTCAATTTTAGATCACGTTGCTTTTCTTTGAAAGTATCTAAAAAGTCCACATCTTTACACTATCATGTTTAAACTGTTTAACAATTAAACAAAGTCCATCAAAGTAATCAGTGGGGAGTAAGAAGTCATCACTGGTTGCAGAAATAAAATGAAGGATTTATGTAATAAGAAATACTGAACCATTTTATTAGCAATGAAGAAAGCATGTAGGGGGCCAAAGGCACAGGAGAAATAAGGAAACAAAATCACTTTGTTTTAGACTTCAAATCCAGTAGTCAACTAAGATTCCTTAACAACCAACTATGATGCTAATAAATATCTTATAACACAAGTCTAACAATAATAATATAACTGTTAATAACAATGACAATAAAAACAAGCATGTACTATATGCCGGACCCTGTGTCAAGGGCTTAATTAAAATTTTAAAAAGAAAAAACAAAAAACCCTTTATATTTTATATAATTTTATATAATATATATAAAATTCCCATTTTATAGATGAGGAAACTAAGGTAGTAAGAGGTTGAGTAACTTGCTCAAATTACATAATTAGTAAAAGGTAAGGCAGAGATTCAAACCCAAGTATGTATGATTCCAATGACTGTATCTGAACCACTATATTTTATTTAAGGCACCTCTGAATATGGAGCGGTTACAGGAACGTCTATAAGGCTTCTATAAAACTTTATAGAGAGTAAAGAACTCTACCTTTCCCTTTACAAAATGCCTTCCTTCATCTTCTCCACAAGTACCTTTTGTGTATGGTCTTGTCATTCCTTTAACATGATACTCATGAAATTCCTTCAAGGCAAAAACTATGTCTTATCTCTGTATCCCCATACCTAGCATGGTGTTTGGCAAAAGCAGATGCTTGATAAATGTTTGTATAATAGATGAATGAATGCATGGATGGATGCATGAATAAATTAATAGCCACACTATCAACAGACTAAATTTAAGAAAGACAATGAGATGTAGTAAAAAGGAAACTATATAACAGAATTTTATGCAAAGTTCAATAGGAGCCCAGAGGTGGAAGTGATTCTACCTGAGTGGGTGAGGATGTCAGGGAAGTTCACACAAGGTCTGAAAGGAATGAGGAGGCATGTATCAGGTGAAGGGAGCCTTAGTATAAGCTCGGGTAATAAGAATTACAGAGTATAGAAAATACAGTAAAAGGCTTAAGATAACCATTGCAATTAATATAAAACTAACATAATTTTGGCTACCTATTCCAGAGGTATCAATATTTAATGTCACAGAAAGGAAACAATAATGAACTGTTTTAGGCATGTGTACATCTGGAATGTGCAAAACATTTTTTATACATTTTATAAACAGCGCTTATCTACGATAACCCCACAAAAAATTCTGTAACTTACATAGTTGTTCAAGTTAATTGATAACTGCTCCTTTAAATTGACTCACTAGTTGAATTACCATATAAGAGGGAGCTTGATGAAGGGTATTCCAATTTTTTCTCTTCCACTCAAAAAGGCTCCAATGGACTGACCTGAAAGCTTCTACATTTATAACTTTTCTTCTGTAAGAACATGTTCACTATTTTTAAAACTGGATCTTAATGAAGTGTGTGATATTATCTCAACAATTCTAGCAGAATTTGAGGTATCTCTGATAACCTTTACTTAATGAAAAGTGGCTACAACATTTATTGCCAAAACATAGAGCAGGCTATTTCACTGCATGGTGTTATATAAAGAAAGTTCCCAAACAACAACGTAAGAAAAAAAACTATGGGTTCCTCATAACCAAGGTAACATGTATAACTCGAAAAACCCTAATCCCATTTTAATACTCCACTATCCTGTTTCATTTTAACTTAGGAACTTTTATTATTTAAAGGCAAGAACTCTCTCTAGCTTATTTAATTTTTATCTTATTTCTAGCATCTATTTGTACTGTGAACATAAAAGACACTCAATACATACTTCTTGAGTTCATTCTTATCCCCATAATTTCATCACTACAGTCATGTGCATAGTAAAATCAGAAATACCGATGTTGCTGCTCAGATCCCATTTAAGGAAATAAGAAAACTTTCAACTTGATCAGAAATACAAACTTCAAAGCAACAAAAGCCACTNTGACAGAAAAACAGATACACAGACCAATGGAACAGAATTCAGAACCCAGAAATAAACCCACATATATATAGGCAGATAATTTTTGACAAAGGAGCCAAAAACACAACAGAGAAAAGAAAGCCTCTTCAATAAATGGTGTTGGGAAATTAGAAAGCCATATGCAAAAAAATGAAACTAGATTGCTGTTGATCACCATACACAAAAATTAACTCAAAATGGATCAAAGACCGAAATGTAAGACCTGAAACAATAAAATACATAGAAGAAAATATAGGTAGTAAACTTACGGTCCTTGGTCTTAGGATTTTATGAATTTGACCCCAAAGGCAAGGGAAGTAAAAGTGAAAATAAATGAATGGGACTATATCAAACTAAAAAGCTTCTGCACAGCAAAAGAAATCATCAACAAAACAAAAAGGCAACCAACCAAATGGGAGAAGATATTTGCAAACAATATCTCTGATAGCAAAGGGATTGATATCAAAAATATATAAAGAACTCATACAACTCAACAAAACACAAACAATCCAATTAAAAAATGGGCAGAGGAGCTGAACAGACACTTCTCCCAAGAAGACATATAAACTGCCAACAGATATATGAAAAGATGCTCAACTTCACTAGCTATTAGGGAGATGCAAATCAAAACCACAATGAGATACCACCTCACACCAGTCAGAATGGCTATCATCATCAAAAAGACAAGTAATAACAAGTGTTGGAGAGTCTATGGAGAAAAAGGAACCCTCATTCACTACTGGTGGGAATGTAAACAGGTACAGCCACTGTGGAAAACAGTATGGAAGTGTCTCAAAAAATTAAGAACAGAGCCACCATATGATCCAGCA